GGGCCTGCTTCTGACAGCTGGGCGGAGCCAGCCGTGATCTTACGGCTGGCTCCGGCCACTTGCAGAGAGATCAGCTTCCCTGGTTACCAGTTACCACAGAGGGACCGAGCAGAACAGCCGAGCCGATTGTTCGCTAATACGCTATCCAAAACAAATTAAAAAATGGCCACACACGCTAAGCTACAGCTTTTTGTATGCACAGCTGTGAGAACCATAGATTGTGGAAACACCAATTTCACAAACTATAAAGTAATGTAAACAGATATTTGCTGACCACTAACCCTTTCACACCTAACTCTCCCACAACCTAACCTCCTCAGCCTGGGTTCCTCAAAGTAATGTTTCTCTTGCAACTTCATTGTTGGAAAACCTGGAATGATATGCGCTTCCTTTATGTGCTTTAGTTAAACAAAGGTGCTTTCTTACTGTCAATTATATTCCTGTGCTCTGTATTCCACAGTGCCAGGAGGCAGCTCAGTGTCCAATGGGTTGACATGCCGATCCTGCATCTCTGGCAATTCTGACTGGTGTTACACTCCTGATACCATGCAATGCACGGGCGATGAGAACATGTGCCTCCTCCAGACTACAAAAATATCAGGTAAATGTTTTAGACAGGACCAGTGTTATCCCCAAAAGTATTTATTTGTGATTTGTGTATTAATTATTTATGAATAGTAAATAATGTAGATTAAAATTGAACATCCCCCCCCCCCCCCCTAGCTAATCACCTTTGGTTTTCTTGTTTTTTAACTCAAGTAAATACTAGTGATGGGCCAAACAGGACCGAGTTCGGTTCTAATTCGAACTTTAGAACATCCATAAAGTACGAATTTGAACTCGAACTCAATGCAAGTCAATGGGGGTAGAACTTTCAGAAACAATTGTCCCCTTTAAGAGGGCTTATATGCAAGTTATTGGCCATAAAAGGTGTATGGGGATCCGGGTACTGCCCTGGGGGACATGTATGGGGATCCGGGTACAGAGGCTCTAGACTTTGTGAGGCCTTAGGCGAAACTCAAACATGAGGCCCCCACTTACACCCATATTGAAAGACAATGCAAACAATAATTAAAAATGAACTGTATACATTGCATATTGTAGGACGAGCGTTTAATCCCAGCAGCCAGGAATTTACAGCTTCGAGAGCTAGAATCTTATTTCTTTTTAATCACCTTTTTATTGTTTTATTTAATTTTGTATTTATTTATTTATTTTTAAATCAATGTATTTTTTTTCCAACTAACTTTATTGCTATCACACAGAAGATAACAAGCCCCTGTCTGATAGCAAGGTAAACAGCTACTTCCTCCAGCGTTAATCCACATTAACAGGACGCCGGAGTAAGCATCTGACAGCTGGGGGGAGGAGTTTGTCAATCACGGCGCGGCAGTCCTCACACTACAGAGCCGGTGGGCAGAGCCTCGGACCGCCCCGTCGTGATTGGACAGCGGCAGCACACTACCGTCCACCGCCGGGACACCTTACACCGACGCCCGCAACTTCCCCACAAGGTCACCGCTGCTGCCCCTCTGCGTTCTGCCGACCCGCGGCCGGGCCTCGGTGGCCTTGTGGGAAATCCGGGCCTGAGGGTGAGCCATGATTAGGCATGCCTCTCACTTTTCTCTTTGCCCTGATTGGCTAAAGTCTTGCACCTGACCTGTGGTCAGGTGCAAAGGCTTTAGCCAATCAGGTGCTCACAAGGCGCGGCTGGCAAATAACCAGCCGAACACCCTGACAGTTTGTGTGTTCGCCGAACACACGTACAGCCGATGTGCGAGTCAAACTCACATTCAGCTTGAACATCGAGACCAACCCTAGTAAATACCCCAAAAACTTGCCTAAATTTACGGTAACATTTACGATCCTCTCATGGTCCCGAAGGCCAGAATACTGCGCAATGGATACCTTCAATTTAAAAAAATCATAATCTCTAAATAAGGTTCCAATGCAAGCAGTGTAAGTACCTGACTGGGTATCGGCTGCTTGCATTTACTATACAGCAGAGGTCAGAAGGGGAGGGAGGGGCTGAACAAGGAGCCAGTGCAAAGAGCAGGATGGTAGGAGGAAAGAGCAACGTGACAGTAATTCCTCACTGCTTCACCTTTCACTGTCAGGCCACAGTGGGCAGGGAACTTGTAAGTAAAAGCAAAACTCCAGCAGAAAAAAAAAAGGCCTCTACCCTGCTGTGCAGGACCGTGCTGTGTGGCAATGCTGTATAAATCTCAGGACCGGATGGACAGAAATAAAAACCCTTTTAGATAGTATTTAATCTCTATATTTAGCTGTTTGCCTAGAGTCCAGCTTTACGATTGTATATTTTTTTCACACATTTGTTTTTAAAATAGTATATTTTTAATATATTTATTTTTTACAGGATCTCAGTCACT